TGTAACATATGCTGACTGATTCGTCTTTCAAGTAAATGAATTTCTAATTTATCACAGGATTCTTCCCCTTTCTCCAAACCAAGTCCTTTAGAATGTTTACAAAAGTCATGCAATAATATTTTACAAAATATAAATCCCTTGCCATATCGTCAAATTCTGAATGAAGTTTCTCATAAGCTGAGTAGCGGTCTTAATTATTTCACTAATTACTCATCAAATTACTCTTGGCTTAAACAGAAACGTAATACAAAATTACGTCATTACAGTTCCCCTGGTTCCTATTTATTTCCACTCTCCGTTGCATGCAGTTCATCACTTAGTTCAAGAAAACGAAATTTGGTTACATCCAAGCGTACATTTAGAAAAGTTTCCCATTCAAAGAACCTAAATTCAACATTGACGGATGGTAACATTCGAACACATAGATCGATTCAATCGAAAAATAAAACTTTAATACATGATAAAATTGCTCTGAACGATCCAACAAAAAATGGTAAGTTCTTATTGTATTCAGACAAATCCGTAAGTCAACTCACAACTGAATCTCCTCAAATTAATGATTCGCCAACTCAAAAATTATGTTCACCACAATCGGTGGCATTGTCATCTTTCAATACTAATTCAACTATTTTAAATGGAAATTGTACATGTACCATCTGCAATAAAATACAAATGTTCAATATCTTACTAACTTCCTGGAGTGCAGTGATAAACTTTATTCACAATTTACAATCAAATATGACTTTATATTCAAATGATATGAGTATAAATACTACTAACGATCTTGTTTATAATTTAGAAAATTCACTAAAACAAAATGAACCGATTATTACTGAATCAAATGACTTAAACAATTCGTTTACATTACTAGTTAATAGTCAGAATAATTCTCAAGATTCTAACTTAGAAGATGATAACTATATAATTCATAATGTACCTTTAAAATAAATTCACTAAATAATTGAATATTGAATAGAATTTCAAATACAATTACAAGCAGATTTGTATATTTCTCTTTATTTAACTGTGATGATTAATTTGTAATATCAACGTTGAAAACTACCAAAGAATAATCTACCTCACTAAACCACTTTTTATGGGCAAATCAATTAATTTTCTTTTGCACAAAATACTTTCTCGTTTGAATTATACATGCTTTATAAAACTTCTGCTTTTTTTCTTCTTTTTCTGTATTAATTAATGTAACATTCATTGGAAGATTTATTTATTAGTAAGGGAGAGGATGGTTGATTGTGAAGAAACACTTTTATTATGCTTACAGAATAATTGTAATAGATTTCTGTAAAGATTTATTAAATTTTGAAATGAATGAATAAATATACAAAAACAGAAGATTGTAGATAGTTTTGTTCTTTAAGCTGGATGATTTGGTCGTGAAGCTTTCATCGAGGTCCACAGGACAAGCTGTGAACCACATGTGAAAAAATTCGAACACTTCACTTCTACCTGAAGTTTGTATTGATGATGTCGTTCAGAAGAACGATGAAAGTGCCATGACCAAATCATCCAGTTTAGAGAACAAAACTCCATCAAAATCATCCACCTGAGCTATAAATCTCCACTATTGTAGATGGCTCTTTAAACAGGTCACAGTTATAACAGTGAAAATACTTCACAAATTAAAGCATTTATTTCAAATTATGTTTTAAGAGCATATGCTCAATACAGAATTGTTCATTAAGATGTTACTTAACTTGATAGAAATTCCCGTAAAGCTAGAAAAGAAAACACTGTTTGTAAAACATGTAACTTCTATGTTTTGTTTTAAAATCAATTATTGATACATCAAGTTAGAGAAAGGAAAAAAATAGAACTAAATATCTGCCTAGAATTTTCTAGTTTTGACTAACTTTCCACCATAAAAATTGTTTTCCCAACATGAGTAGAATCATTTCAACTGAAACTTTTTCAGTGCATATATAAAATTATGTTAATTATAGATTTAAATTATTAAATTGTATATCAAAGTTACTACAAACTAAGAATTTTACATCATGTACTTATATCTGTTCCATAATTAGTCTTGCGAAAATTATCTCATTCAATTTGTTTCATTAATGAATAATTGATAATAAATAACAGAGTAATTATGTCTGCTCCATCCAATACAAATTTTGGTATTTTTAACTGTTTCTATAACAATTTCACTTTACGATAAATGAATCATATGAGCAATGAATGGTTGAGCATTTTCAAGATTTATAGAATTACTAAGCTAAAGAAGCTATACCTATTTATAATCACATAATTGTTTATTGAGAAAAGTAACTTGACTTGTATATGGGGATTTTTATTACTATTTAACATCAGTTGGATGACCGATGACAATTATAAAGTACAAGATTATTTTGTCTGAGTTCGAGATTTATCAGCAGTAGAATTCATGAGAGAAAGGACTATCATTCAAGATTTATCGTGTATTAAACACTTATATTTAGAACTAAGTGGTTAAATACTATAGATACAACTAGCCAAAAAATAATCCTACCAATAAACAATTAAAAATGTTCTATGCTTATAAGCCATTGGATAATAAATACTTTCACGATATTGTGCGGTTAATTTTGTTCAAATGGTATTATCAATCTGAGTAGCTGTTTCCCGACAGTGTTTTACTGTGTAAGTAGGAAACACCAGATCAAGTCATTTAAAAATTTTAACCTGGATGTTACAGATATACCTTACTGATAAGGGTCTCCATGTACAAAGTCTAGTGTTTTTATGTAGCACCTTAAATTATTCACTACTCTCCCGATTTTCATAATCTTAATTTAGGAAGATAATCTATACCTTGTGTTTATGAATACCAATGTGTTACACTTTATGGAGATATCACGTAGTACTTGTGGCCTGTGTGCCTTGCTAATGTATAACGTAATGATACCGCCAATTAGAGAGCAGTGAATTATCGATCAGACCAATGACGCATAAAACCCGTACGAGCAGTCTAGAGTCCCTATCGGTCTTGCTTCCTGCCTAACCCAGCCAGTTAAGTCCAGAACACCAATCTCAGCCTCTGCATTATGAATCATTTATTTCAAGCATACTGGGTTTATATACCAACCAGACAGACCACAGCATACCATAAAATATGAAACATTTGTACAAGAATTAGCCAAATGTGGCTGTGAATGGGGGAGGTAGTAATTAATAGACAGGGCATAATTCAAAAATGGTAAATCGTATGATAATAGCTCATAGGTCAAAATAAAGCTTATAATAAGAGGGACATGAATATGAACAGTTTAGTTATTTAACAATTATACGATAAAAATGTACGCATAGTATTAGTCCATAAATGGATCCCGAAAGTTACCATTCATTATTTATATCGGGACATAACATTACTCCCCTTTGTAAATTGACGGCAAAACAAAAAGCATGGTATTAAAACACCAAAGTGAAGTAAACATTATTTGTTGATGTTTCTAGTGTGACTAGTAAAAATCACCTTAACTTCTGTCGTCGGCATACCTTTTACGTTATATATAACCAGCACGTATTTGTAAGTAAACTTTGTCAAGAAACACCCTCCAAGTTCAGCAAATATATATATGTAATCATTATTAACACTGGACAATATCTCGTAGATTCACAAATGCTAGTCGTCCCAATAAATGTTCGCAGTTATTTTTCAAGCATTATTTGGTAAGTTTATTTAAAATAAATCACTAAGTTCGGTTGTTATTCCGATTACATTACAATATTATGCATTAAGTAGGTTAATATGGTTCTTGTTCCTTGGTTAAATTCAACTACTTCTGAACATATAAAGCGGATTCGTGGAAAGCTACGACGGAAACTCTTTTTATGTCGCTGTTAAGAAAGTTACATTTTACTTCATTTCTAGGCTATAATTTAAGGTTTGGGTGAAATTGAATATTTGATATATATATATATATAATCTTACCTCAATTAAGTTATCTGACTAAAGTGATTAATTTTGCTTACCGAAAATGGGGAGTAGTGAATAATTAAGGCAGTTGGAAGTAGTCACCCTCCCAACAGAATAGTACAGTAAAAATTATATTAATTATAAATTCAAATTGTAGGGAATCTCTGACAATTTATATCTCCTTAAGGACAATCAGACCGAAACACTTAATCAATATATACAAACAGTGATGTAGAACACTTAGATGAGATGCTTAATATTGTGTAGACCCCAAGTTAACCAAATGTACTAGCCTTCTCAATTTTGTCGCATTATCACAAATATGGTTCACCTTGTCTGCTTATTTCTCTAAATAAATTTCTTCTTTAGTGAATCTAATATTGATTAGCAGTTAATGAAGAAAGCAAATTCAGTGTATTTATATGCAAAGCTTTATTTATCGAATGCACTAACTTTACCCATTTTCTGCAAAATTTATGGGACATTTACTAGGAAACAAAAGTCATAAAGCGTTAATGGACTGATATATATATATTACAAGTCAATAAATTAGACTTGTATGCATGTTGCGGAATGAAGAAAACAAAATCTCATTGAATTACTATAGTATATATCAACTTTGAAAGAAGTTAACCCTACGCTTCGTAGAAAAACACTGTCGAATCAGTTGACGAGTACAAATCATCACCAGAAAAGATAAGACTATACTAACGAAAATGGAATATCGAAATGGTTATATAACTCTTGAAATAACAGAATAGTAATCCTCGTTGTCAACTTTAAGGTTTAACAGACTTTCAAATAACTAATCCCAATCAAAAAAGTAAATGGATACAAGTATGCGGTTGATGTGTCATACGAAAACAATGCTTTCAATTATGATACAGATTTGTAGGTAGAATGTAACAGTTTTAAATTACATGCCAAATCTTTCCTATTCACTGTCTATCACTTTTATAATTTTTTTTAAAATCTCCAAATACCTAGTTTTATGTCTGAGTTTTGTTTCCACAAGATCAACATACTTCATAAGTAACAATTTAATGACAACTTCCAACCCCATAGAAGAAATAATAACCTATTTGATCAACAGATGAACTCAACTTTTATTCATATATATATCCAGTCATATAGCGTAAACAATGTCAATGATAAGAAAAGTATTATACACAAAATATGATTGTAATTTATTTTTATTCTTGTTATCATAAATTCATTTCTTGTAATTATTACAACAATAGATATTCTATTTGACAGAAGTGATAAAAAAGAAATATACAATGTAAAACATGAAATTAACACATCTAAAGCTTTAATTTATTTAATGCCATACACCAGGTTGATTTGGATTTGGAATTGGAGCTAATTTCTGAAATGGAACTGTACATCCATGAAGCGACCCTTTAGCTAAACAAGAAAAAGAAGAAAGAAACAAAATAATCGTTAAACTTAAATGATTCTTAATTAGAAGTGAGATAGGAATTTTATATTGAAATTTTATTAGTATTAAATGAAGATAGCTTTTGATTGCATAGCAAAATTTTTGCATACATAAATTTACGAATAACTCCAGAAGGAATGATAATATTTAGACGTATTTTATGCACATAGAGTTAGCTGATATCTTATGTCAGATGAGGATCAGTATTTTGATGAAACAAAAGTTAACTTATTAATAGATTAAAGGTTATCACCGATAATCAGTTATGTCCAACGTAGCATCTGGTACATAGGTGTATCGGTTCAAGTTGTTACATCACATCAGACGGGCAACAAAGATTTACTACCACATTAATCGATTTCGCATCCTTAACTAGTGCACTGGTTTAAATCCCAGCATCATTCACCCAGTGTTCCCAACACACACGAGGAATGCTTCGGAAGTATCTACGATTGAATATAAACGAAGTATGAATGTTCCATATTTTTAAAGAATAGGTTTCACAGCCATGAAACAGGCGAGCTGCCGAACAATATACTCGTCCTTTAATTGATAGACAAACACCTTTCCTATGTCGGAAATGACGTAAGTTGGCAAAAGCCAAACGAGTTTTAGGAATATATATCGAGACAGATAAACCAAAAAATGTTATGTTACATTATTAAGTTCATAATACTTATAGATGTAGACACCAGAATATTACATTTCTAAGTATCCTTTTCTGTAAAATGAGTTCAAGAAGAAAACAACAATGAAGGCTATATTCACAATAATTACAGTGTACAGTAAACTAAACATTGCAATTATTAACTTTACCTAACATTTTAAGACATTTCTTTAATTATTCCTAAGACCTTTTTGTTGTTTTTATATATTAAAAGAACGATGTAGAGACATAGAACGTACAATCTTCATGTTTATTTTAAATTTTTCATATAGTCCTAACTTGTCTACATCTACGAATGTGAAAGCCGTCTCAATTAATAAATTAAATCATTCTTTTGAAAGTAAAAAAAAATTATGATGTACTTAAATTGTTAGAAGCTACAATTCTTAGATAATTTCAAATAGTTTGCCAACATATACATTTAGAGGATCTATTGTATCACTATTTAGTTTCAACTACATAGTCTTGTTTGCTGTCGAAATACTTTCTGTAGAGAACTCAAATAAGACAGGTTTGAGGAGCTATACACTTCTGATAACCACTGTTTAACGTAGTTAACTATTAAAGCATCCACTTGGTGGGACACATCACACTGACCAAAACACGTGTATAAATAAAGGTTTTCTGCTGATGATCTATTAAATCTATCTAAATCTCTTCCTCACTCTATATGTAACATTACATAAAAAGGAACAGAATATATATATATATATATATATATATATATATATATATATATATATATATATAATTTTCCAATGTGTAGAAAAGTAAATTTCTGATGTCTCATAGCTCAGTGTAAACCGCTTCTTAACTAGAAATCTACCCAATGCTCAATTATCAAAACGAACCTTGATAATGATCACCACCGACTACACAATGACGATTATGTGTTGAGTTTTTATTAAATGAACGTTAAGCTGAATAGAAAATGCAGTACATTTATCATATAAAAATAGAAACAATACAATGATACAATTGAATTTCTCAGTATAAAATAAAAAAAAAATCAGTGCATATTCTTACGTAGATTAGCGTTTGACGTTTGTTCAGTATGATCCATAACATGTTCATTTTGTTTGATTTGAGTTGTGGAATTCGATAAACGAATAGGTGAAGCTGATGATGAAACAGATGATGGCTTCAGTGGACCTGAAGAACATGATTTTAGTATACAATTTGATAGACTATTTTGTCCATTAGGTATTGTAGCACAACGACTACCATCTGGACTAATAACTGAAACTGGAAGCCATACACCAAGATAATTAGCTTGCCAAAGTCGTACACAACCATCATCGCCAGACGATGCAAGTAAAGAACCTAATGAATGTTTTTTCCAAGAAAAAAGCATGTAACAATTCATTGACGATAGGTTAGCAAAAGTTTATGTAGTTTAGTGATTTATACATTCAACCCATTGCAGGATATTTGTATATGTATGATTTTTCTAATTCACATAAAATCTGATATAACTGAGCACCAAAAATAGAATGCGTTATACAAACATATCTACATGTGGGCTGGGATACTGTCTGAGCGGCTACACCGAGACAGGTAGTTTCATTGGGGATCTACTCCTTGGCAATTTGATTAAGGCAGTGGACCAACGTCAAACTTGTTATCAAAACCCAGATTTCAACTAATATTTTTAGATTTCAAACAAAATAGACGAATGAAAAGGTGAACATATATACGCACAAAAATGTGCTGCAAAATTCTAATGAAGCTACTTGTCACCAGTTTGTAAACTGAAAATTGAATACAATCAAAGAGTATCACATAGCTTATCAGTTGGGTTCTTTGTAAACATCTTTTTAACCATAACAAACACTGTTAAACTTTACCAGTTACATTCCAAGAAACATGCCAAACTCGTCCTTCATGATGATCGAAACGTGCCATCATTCTAATTTCATACGGATTACGTATAGGTAGATTCGATCTTGACAATGACAAATTATTGGAACTAGAATTATCATCTATTAAGAGGCAAGAAAAAATCGTAGAGAAGTAGTGTTTAATTATGCAGGCTAATTTAGGGACTTTTTAATATAAAATACGCTTTCTCTTGATAAAAGACACTTAATTTTTTTGAAAAAGACGAAGCATTCCTGTGTGGCTAGTGAATGTGACTGACCGCAACTTACTGACTATATAATTTTTTGTATTGTTGGCAGATGTCTACCAACGTGGTCTTAAACCTGGTTAATTCCTCAGGAGAAGTAGGCACCAAATCTGTTGTTTGTGTAAATAAATTTTCAAACTGTACATCTGTATCTAGTTGGTTTATTTTGTTTTCCGTTTTACTATTGATTTCTACTCTGTACTCACTAACTGTAAACTGCTTATAATTATGTTGAATAAAGTATTGTTCAGTCTTTAGTCTGGTTCCCTATGTTTGGTTATGAATCGTGTATCTGGTATAACGTGATCCAGTTTGTGTATAGCGTACCGATCGAGTATCTAGTGTAGTGGTAATATAATATCGGCTACGGGGTGCATTATCATATTAAAGTAGCATTTCGTGGCAAGAGAAAAATATTTTAATTATTTCGTTATATCAACTTCCTTGTTGTTACTTTTTTAAATTAATGGACTATTTTCATAACAGATCGAGACAACAAGTATGAAATAGAAAGTAATAATATTGAGACTTAAAATACTATCCACATGATGTAATTTAACTTATTTACACATCCATGTCCTCAATTTTGAGCTAGTGATATTAACCGGTTACCTAGACCAACGTGGAGTAACATTTAAACTTATAAACTACTGGTTTAACCTCTAGTTTACAGTGAATCTCTTGAATGCTGGAATAGCCGTAACTAAATTAACTAAGGAACAAAAATAAATCAATTAAGTTTAAAAACAATGTTTAGCAAAAATAAATAATTAGAATCAAAAGTTCTCTCTCTCTCTAAATAATTTACTTAATTTTTATCAATTTTCATTTTCCTATATATAAATGTACATCGGAAGATGGGTGGAACATATTAAGTTGTGGACTAAAAAGAAACAGAACAAGAAATTATCACAAGTTTTAGAAAATTGATAGCTTTTGACTAGCAGTGGAGTCCATAATGTGCTTTCATTCTAACTGGAACTCATCAACTGAACGTATCTGAATTTCAGTATTAATGAACGCAGTATCTTTTGTCTTTAACACTCCCAACGGGTAATCTATTCATCTAGTGCATTTAAATAGGCAATAGATTGTACATTTAGTATAGTATTTATATTATTTTAAGTTAGGACTTAAATCCTTACCTAGAACGATGTAAGCAATTATTACATTTGACAATATATTTTTTTATATCAAAGAATTATTTTAGACAAGTTGGTAATTAGGACGGAAACAAAATACATTTGTAGAGTTTATTTGTTGTGTATATGTAGCTAAAACGTACTTTTTCTTAATTTTAAATTATAATTTGATACTGAACAAATATGACCCATAAGAAAATAGAGAAATGAACTTTTCATTATCCTTTGATTCCCAATAGTTACCTAATTGAAATTTTTGTCAAACCACTGCTTTCTTACAAGATTAACGTCTATTACAAGTAATACAGTTCAGGACTATAGACTGTACTATCAGCTAGATCAAGTGAATAGTATGTTAATCTAAATTGTAAGTGATGGTTAGCATTTATTTATTTATTTTTGATACAACTAGACAGAAGTGGATGAAATTTAAAGAATTTATGATATTTTTCATAATTTGTCATTTGCACTTGGTTACAACTTACTGACGAATTTAAAAGTATAAACTACCACATGAAGTTATGCAAAATTCTATCTCCAACTCTAATTGATAGTGAAAATGATGAACAGATAAAATATATTTAAAAAAACACTTATAGGCGAACCCAGTTCTTAAAAAAACTGTCTAGTAAAATCATGTATAAAAAATGTGAATATTTAACTTACTTTTCATCAGTGAATTAGAAGATTGATTGGAGTTAAACGGTCTAATTCTTAATATATACAATTCTTTAGAACCAACAGCTAATGTATGATATGATTGACCCATATGTGGAGCGAATGATACATCGTAAATAGGATCATTCAGTGCATGCACATCTTCCACAAGATACCAATGCCTTCTAGCTTCAGAATATTCATAAAGGATAAGTTTACCGTTTACTAGAGTATTTGTTGGGTGAGCTGTTGAATGAGACATAGAATGATGTGCTGGTAAACCGTCTGAATTATCCGCAGTATCTGGATCATTAGGACTAACGCTGCCAACAGCAATTAAAGGTGGGTCAAGACGTGACTGAAAAAAATATTGATGAAAATGGATTGATTACTTTAAGAAACAAAACAATCTAAACATTTGGATACTAATGGATGTGTGATTATCTATATCTACGGCTTCATTTATAACAATGTGCCATACGATGTTAAAATAGCAACATACATATTGTAACAGCGTAACTAAATGGAAATCTGTATAGTAAGAGATATGAGACAATTTTATTTAACGAGATCTGACTACATTTCCTACTCTTACAAAGCTAAATACAGAGCACAGTTTTCAGTGTACGAATCTACTAAGTAGATAATAAGGTACAGTTGAAATTTTTACTTATTTATTTATTTGAACACATAAATATTGGTACAAGGGGGCACCAGATATTTATGCGCCGCACGCTACAGTTGAAAAGTAAACAACCAACAAATTGAACATGATCAGTAACCTACTGCTTTCAGTTGATTTAAAAATCTGAACATCGAAAACTCTAGAAAATATTTTAGACTAAATTCTTACTTATTTGATAAACAAAGGTACATATGAATGATTGACATACTTTACAATCCATATTCAATTAATTTTGTGTATGCTAGAGACTATGGACCGACCGTGTCTTTTAATTCACGCTGGTTTTATAGAATTAGCCAACGACAATATGAAAGCTGTTATATTCCACTGATTAATGACACTTACATGATTTAGAAATTATTCTTCTGAATAATTAGTTTGAGTTCTAGCACACGTAATTTAGTTAGGCTATTCGTTTAGTTAATGTTATCAGCTTCCTCACACAATGAATGTGTTTGAATGATGAGCATACATACATAAACTACTTAATTACTGGATTGCACTAACACTGGATAATGACTACAAAGACACTGGTCAAGAGCTTAATCAGTAGCGTGAGCGTATTGGATCGAAAAAACATAAAGCACGTGAAAAGTAATCAATCAATAAGAACGATCGATAACCGTATACTTTTCAAGTATATTCTATGTGTACAACTATGGTAATATATCTATCACAAAATATAATCAACAAGACATACCTGAGACCATGCTAAACATGATCCAGCCATTTTAGTACCGAAATCAAACTGTAAACGCCACTGACTTAAATTCATAACATCCTTTAATAGAGTCGGGTAATAAGAAAAACAGAAATGGGAATGAACAAGTTCCAATATTTTATTGAAAACAAAACAGAAGAAGATAAGCAAATGATTTTCCAATGTGGAAATATAAATTATTTTAATTTTACAACGGTAAGTATTTTGCTATTCTTTCTCATTAGCTGATCTGTGAATATACCTCTAAAGAATACTTTATTTGTTCAATAAAATTCATCACAAAAACATACCATTGACTTTCGTAACATAGTTTGAATTTTCCAACTCTAATCCCATAAAGACTTACGAGTACATTTGGAATTCTAAACAATAAACTGGTTTACACGATTGATGATCCATAACATCTGCGTTCAGTTCAGTTTTGAATTCGATCATTGTATTAAATAATGTATTAGATATAGGATTCGATTTACATAAAGCATTTTTGTTCAAGCCATTTCTAAAACTCAATCAATTTTACTTTAATAAATTTAACTGATTGGACCCAATCAAAATACCGGAAGGTTATATATAATCCAAATGACAAGTTATATATAGCATACTGTGTAAGTTTTAATCGGTTACCATTAGAATAAATGTCATAATTTGTGGTCCATTTCAACAACAAATTTACATTCCTAACATCTGACCGATCAAACTACACACCCTAAGTGAATAGTCAACGAATTTATTGATCAGTGTTATACTTCAGTTAGACGACTTTGATGCTTTTTCTAGATATTAAATGTCAATATTTTCGAAGAAATGTTTGCACTCAGATGTGATGATTTTTTAATAATATGGATAACGATAAGAGCAAAGAGAAAGAAAAAATACAGTATCAATTGATAACTGATACGATTTAGATTATAAAATTCGAACGATCGGTGGTGAACAACTAGTGTATAAACAGGACTGCTTTAAAAATGAACTAAGCTACTTTATACCTAATGTGTATGCTTAACTTTATAAAGTTTGAAATCCTGAACTGTATGCAGAAAAATGTCATATTAACTTGGACATTTAGTAAGTATCAAAGAGATTGAAGAAACTGGTGCCGCTTTTCCCATCAAGTTTTTTCTTCAAAACGTTCTGATTATCGTATTACGTTCAATGAATTCAACAGCTAATTATAAAAAAAACGACTAAGAATGATCGAAATTACCATTACAATAATGCTTACGTGGTAGAATTCAAACATATATTTAACAAAGAAGACACCTGCTTACCAGTGCTTCATAAATCCGCAACATGCCATCTGTAGAAATAGCAGCCAACTGAAGACCTAGATGTCTTGGAGCGAATTGTAGACCAGTCACAGAAGTACGTGGATCAACAAGGTAGGCACGTCTTATCCAATTAGTGTTTGCTGACTGACTTCCATATGTAATGTTTGTTACAGTTGAAGGAGTTTGATTGGTACCACCATCATTTTCACCACTTGTTATAGTCTAGGTAAAATAAAAAAAGTAGAAATCAAGAGTAGATTAGATCAAACACAAACGAAACTAGTACTTAAACATAAAAACAAGAACATTACGATTGTAGATACTTGAACGAGTCATAGGGAACTACAACCTACTCCTACAATCTACAATTCACTTCTTAATTTTGCAAAAAGTTTCTTATTGATAACGAATATGGGGAAATAAAATGTTTAGGTGACTGCATAGTTCTATCGCATGTATGCGCATAAATGACTACAAATTATAAAGAGTTAATTAGCTAAAAAACAGATTATAGATATACTGTAGGTCAATGACTAGAAATTCCATTACATGTCTCTATTTTACATAGTTTGGAAGGATCTTTAAGAATACGCGAAATTACTTACTTGAGTGCCTGCGATTTCCTCCCATACAGCTATTGTACGATCGAATGAACAGGTAGCGATAACCTGACCGAATTCAGGATGTGCCCAAGTAACACGCCATGCTGATCCTAAATGACATCGCCATGAAGCAGTGCATACCCATTCTTCATTGTCCTTTAAATCCCAAATCTAAGAATTTATAAAGATATTTTAACCATTAATGTAGAAAGCTAAAGAAATATTGTACTGTTTCCTCTACCTTAAAATATACCAATAACTGTGAGTAATCCTTTATCAGTCATAAAGTTGAAAATACGATAATACTTAGTATGATATACATATATGGCAACTATTAAGGTATACGAGATGACAAAACGAAGTATGGATTATGGAAGAAAATAAGATCACATATAATGTTTCCACGAGTTGTTAATTCCTTATGATTGCGAATTACCGTTTGGAACAACACATATAAGCGAACAATTGTTTTCAATTAGATCGTCATCAGGCTTTACTCTAATATAAATGAATATTTATACGAAAATCTTAAACCAATCAAGGCAATTTGGGTCAATAATCGCAATGAAATAGAATAAGTCACCACACATGATAAGTAAAAATACAAGTTGATAGTAGGAAGACAGGTGTACTGATAGTAGTAAGAATAATAAAATATTATCACAAAAGTCTTATTAATAGTTAAACGTTGGAAATAGAAGGTCAAACGTGGGTAAATAGACTTGGAATAGTCATCACAAAACATTAAAATCATTACGTAATAAGTGTATAAATAATTAGATAGTGAAGAATACAAACGAAAAGAGGTGAAGAATTACAAACAAATAATGAATGTGAAAATTATTACCGTTTGCATTATATTTTTGATTTAATCCCCCGTGCCTTGAAAAATATTTAGAATTTAAAGTTGATTTTTGAAATGCTGAATCTGTGTAATTAGCTAAATGTCTTTTTAGCTATTCAGTTTTTTTATAGGCTTTGTTACCCGAGACATAAGCAAACATGAGGAATGACCATCAACCTTGTGAAAATACTACAATTATGACAGAACGTAAATTTCCACTGGATGGCTGCAACAAAGCTTATAATACAGCTGGGTGGGTAAAAAGACATCTAACATGTCATCCTCAACACACGCAAACCATCTCAATAGGCGAAACACAAAATCTCACGAATACATATGATCAAACAACATGAAACCATAACATAGAAACAACAAATATTTCATCAATGCCCATACAACGGATGCAAAAAGAAACTTTTAACAAAGAAAGGAATAATCAATCACTGCTATGTAGTACAGTGATGGTCAGGAATTACCGGACGGGAAATAAGATCAAGAACAAAACAATTATTGAGACCCGGTAGCTGTGACGCGGCCCATTTATTTATCTTCTCCAGAAGAACCTACCGGCTTTACCAACTATTTTGGCTGGAAGGGGAAGGCCAAGGATAAATGACATAACTAGAATACAAACATATACCGAAACGACATTTTAAAGAAAAATATCCAGATGGTTTCAAAAGTGAGGCCTTTAAATTTCTAGTTTGAAATATAAATATTTTAAATTTTTCCAGAACACAGACAAATATCAAAACAAACTTTTTGGGAGAAGAATTCCTCTTCTCTGTTGCTTTACATGAATCAGATGAGAGCGGATCGAATTTCTCGTTTTTTTTTCACGGAAACGAAGCTACGTGAACTCATTATTTCCGTTTCGTATAGACATTCAATGAATACATCCCTTTGCACCTACATGGTCTCTTTTAGCGAATAGAACACTTATAATCGAACTAGATAGACGGAATAGTAGAAATAGTTAGAATAATGACTTCCAAAGTCACCTTCTTTTCAACTTTAAAAGACATACAGACATTTTACATAAAATTTGAATATACTTAATGTATCTTAATCAACAGCACGAAATTGTTTCGTTTTTCTGTAACCGATAGTGTTTAAAATATTAGAAGAGATTTGCAGAATAACATGAAATGAACGATTTTGTCATGAACAACAGTTATATTTTAAATCAGTCAGTCGTGGATAACGCATTTGATAGTATGAATATGTACTGGTCCAAATAACTGCACCTCCATCAATACACCCAACTTGTTGGTTCCACCAAACGAGTAATGATTGAGCATAATTATGTATAAATTATGAATGACCATATACTTAATTAGTGCAATAAAAATAAACAAAATAGTTAAGTAAATGATGAGTCTGCTCAAAGGAATATTAAAAATGAATCCATATATGACCCAGACATACAAATGGGTAATAAACAAAGATGAATAAGAATAGCATGACTCGATGGTTGAGGCTTTCTAAGTGGAAATAATAACTATGAAATATAATTCAACCATTAGAAAGTTGTGTAAAGTCACTTATTAAAAAAAAACGCTATAATAAGTTATTATCAATAATGTTTAGTAGTTGAATTATGACAAAAATATTTGTAAGATATGGTTACTATAGCAGTAAGCTCCTTAACCATGCGTGATAACAATAACACAGGTAAGCGATAATAAAGGGAATTTAAAAGAACACTCCTTACTATCATGAGATAAAAGGTCAACAAAACATTATTAGTATAAACCACAAAAACAATAAAAATAAGTATTAAGGAATAATTATGTTAAATAAAGAACTATTCAGCTTATATTCCCCATGTAACGATAACAATAATAATAATAATAATAATAATAATAATAATAATAATAACCTATTAAGGTTTCAGTAATCTTATCAATACCGCAATATTATCGCTTAAAAAGGGAGAAAATTACAACGTAAAGACAATAAATAGTATGATGAGTCAGTAAAATAGTGTACCATTTGGAAAAATAAGCTTAAATATTTAAGGCCAAATTCAACACTGCTCGTTCTCTTCGACGAAATTAAATAAACAGATAAACACTAGTTGAAAGTTATATGGAAGTGAATCAATCAATAAACTACTCTTTAAGATAAGCAAAGATGGATAGTGGCTAGCAGTGGAATCCAGGACGCGCGTTTCGTCCTGTTTGGGACTCATCATCATTTCGGATGAGTGGTTTTTACCGAATAGTTGTACTTGAATTCAATAGAAATAATCAAGGAAGAGAGACATGAGTATACGATATGGTACAGCTCTAACGGAAGTGGTAACAACTAGAAAAACAAATTTTACAGAATCTGCGAAGATGGATCAGAATATAAAGTATTGAGCTGTCACTGAGTCACGAAAACAGTACACACGCCCTGAGTGTGGTCTTCGACATGACAGAGATTGTCTCATCTCTCGCATGTTTTATGATTTTGTAGTTCTACTGACTTTTTTATATGACTGGAAAATGTGGTAACTTGAACTGATGAGTTTGAGCTAAATCCCATTTAATGATTTATGTAGTCAATAGATGGTTTGAAATGGTATTTTAATGTAAGCGATTGATCTTCCTTCATTAAATGACTTACATTTGAATTGTTATTTAATTCTGTCTAATTATGCCTATAAGTTTGAATAAAAGATCATGTTTACTCTTTCTTCTAAAACTGCTTATTCAAAGTCAATATGTTTACCTACTCCGAACTGACCACCTGGTAAAAAATGAACAAGGATTTTCAGTTTCTAACATTTAGAAATAATGAATAATAGGAAATCTGGTCACACTATAATTATACTGGTTGTACAATAAATAAAATAGTTAACTGTTATGAAACCAGTTTGAAAATAACTAAATTGAAATTAGAAAACACAAGAAAACAAGAACTAAGAGTATTCCAAATGATACTTTCATCTACATTATGATATACAATGCTTGGAAATAGAACTTGCATACATCACTAAAATTCTACCATTTTTATTTCAAAAAAAGGAAAAATTATTTTATAAATGTTATGGGATGTAGTATCATTATTTAGGAATATGTTTTCAGAGCTTTTGTTTAACACAAAGTAATTTGTAACTTTCAAAGGGTATATGCACAAATTTCTCAGATTCATGCCCTTTATAAATAAGTGAAGTGATAGAATCTTTAAAAAGTACTAAAAAACATGTATAGAGAAGGTATTTATATAAATTTATTGGACGTCACACGAAATAGCGAATTGGCAGGAATGATTGCTTTCCAGAAAACTAACTACTCACAGTATCTGACAAAGTAGTAATAAGTGGAAAGGATCATAAGATGATTGGTGAGTAATGTGAACAGTATGTTTGGCCCGAACCCATCAGTTCGACTTTCAGTCATTAAGTCCCAAGTTTGAACCCTGCCCCACTTGTGTTTGGGCGACGGGATAGTATAATTAGCTGTCAAACTTAAAGTGTAGTTCATATATCAGTATATGGTTATTCTATACTTTATCACAAATTTTAGAAAACGCTAAAATGAAAATACTCAGTGATGGTGATTCAGTTCTCAAAACAATTAGGAAATCAACACGAAACCAAAGAATAATAACAAGAACCTGACCGATTGGTAAATAACAGACGGGAAAATATCTATGATTTAAAATATGAAGAAAATAAAGAGTGGATGAATATGAGCCACTGAGATCAATAAAAAGACGTATGTTAGGATATTCAATTGCTGACTCCTAAGAGCCTATTCGAGTTTTCGGCGAGACTCTGATATATGGACGACCTTTGAAAGAATCTTAAATGACCTTGAGAAATATTAACCAATCAGCAAACAGTCAGTATATAGTAAAAATATGTTATACAAAACCAAGGAAATAAAGTGGATACACTTCTTATACGTGGTTCAAAAACTTTTCAAAGTTAGAAAGAAGTTCAGAGGTTCTAAAATCGTAATGCATGCAGTAGAGAAAATCGTTCATACGGCTACAGAATAGTCGGCCTCTGGAGCCATGATCAAGTCTCAAAAACTCTTTCAGCCTCGACCACATAGCTTCAATATTGTTTATGTGCACTCCGGTCGTTGAGTGCACAAAATGCTACTTGTGGATAACGACACGATGCACATAAGCAGGCCTATGTGGGAGTCTGTACGCTCTCTAAACATCCGTATACATTGTAGTACCTGGCTGCAGCCAATGTTACTGATACTTTCAATATCCAGTCGGCAATAAGTGTCGTACTTTGTTTTAGTTAGGAGTTATATATGGGGTTTTCATCACGAACTGACATCAGCTGTAATGCCGGAAATTTATTTAGCCAAATGGATGAAAGACTCTCGCGTTAAAATCCGGGATCTATTATCTTATACCTGACTGATTCGTCCACAAATTATAGTCTTGCCGTTTTATTTGTTATAGCCGCTCAATTATCACGATTTGTACAAAATTCCCTGTGAACCGATCGTACGTCAGCATTAAGCACTGAAGTTGGCACCGTAACCTTGAAATCTCTAAAAAGCTGCTGATTGGCTCGTCCATAAATTAGAGTCTCACTGAACTTCGAATCATTAAATCAGACTCAACTGATATATGAAAGTAACCTGCAGTTTAGACGATGTTATATTTTTAGGCCATTGCTCAGATCATTTATTATTATCTAATAGTTTGGTGGGATGTCCAAAAATTAGGCCTAATAGTTAGATCTTAATTGATTAGAGAATGAGTGATCTACAAGCTGATTTTCTCCTTTCGCCTGTGATATTTTACCAAGTTTATTTTGTGTTCGTATTTCGTGTACAAGCATGTTATCCTATTATGTAAAAATTCTATCTATTCATCTGCTTAGTGGTCTTGTTTTCGCTTTATAGTTGTTCGGGGGTTCAAGTCAATGATTAATTCTTTTGACCAGCTATTACTCGGTTACACCTCATATTATTGCGTCTATCTATCGACTAGTGTTGTATACACTGATTCCGAAAATTAATCATTAAAAAACCGGCTTCATAATATAATCCCAACAAAATAATAAATTTTGCATATAATAAGTATTTTTTGAAACAGTATACACGTACTTTAATCATTTGATCACTACTACAAGTTGCCATGCGTCGACCATAGAAATCATAGGCTACATCATGAATTAAATCAGCGTGATTAGCATGAATACTGCTTGACACAAACATATTTTCTGTTAAAAAAATAAATAAATAATCCTGAGTAGAACTAGCACTGAGTATGTCATAAAATAGAACTAGATACTGAAGAGTATGATGCAATATTAAGTGAACCATGATATCATGAGGTCATATAAAAAGGTAGACTGAAACGATTAGAAACCTTTGACGAAAATACAAATGTGTACAACTAAAGGAAACCAGTGCAAATACAAGAGCACATAACTAAAATATTTTTAGTGAGAATCCTTATACAGTGAGGTGAAACCTATCCAAACAGGTGTTTAAAAAGAACGTAGTCCTGGTGTTTGAGACTGCAGTTGGTCAATCGTTTTTGGTGTATAAGCACTCTGAGAGGATTGACTTGATATTGTTATCAGTCACACGTAGAACGAAACGCACCTTATGGATTCTACTGCTAGCCACTACCCAACTCTGCTTAGAAATTTATAAGATTGTTGAGAAGCCAATTAAAAACCTTGGGATGTTGGTTAAAGGACTAGTTTAGAGCGTAGTAAGGTCAAAGAGACTGTCGTAATCGCTTTGGACGAAGACTAATTCGTTTGACATAACGGAGGGCTGGACAAGAAAGTAGTAAACCATTTGGTCCAAGCTCTTCCTAAGATGGTTATGCGATTTGGTTGATAAGTTAACTTCACTGCTAGCCATTATGACACAAGTTTATGCAGAACGGATGGGATGTAGCTAGCAGTGTAATATAGGACAAGTTTCGCAATACGTGAAATTCACAGATAGCTACATTCCATCTATTGTAATTTAAACTTGTCATAATGGCCATGTCAGTGCAATCTGCAGAAAATGCACATATGCCAACTAAGATTGGTTCGTTTGTCAACTGGCGGGGAAATTGGAGCGTTAAATATATATTTTTGACAAGTAGATGGTTGAGATAAATCTGTAAGCCAACTAATTTTATATTTTTTCTGCTTTTCAGACGACAACGGTAATTGGGCAGATGAATAACCAGCCGAAAAAATCAGTAAGACATTTGCGCTAACGAGGACTACCACAAAACAGAGTGTTTATAAGTCAAGATTTCACGACAGTATACAGTCACCTTTCTGTGACATGTACTAAGTACATTAACACCGCAATTATTTTTATCCAACGTTAGTGAAGATCTTGCCAAATTTTACGATGCCTCAACACAACGTTACTTTTATAACACGAGGGATAAGGTGTATACAAGTTGTTGTCGAAGTGACGATAACGTTATAATTATCACTGTTAATTTCTGCTTTCCGTTTTTGACGCAGGTACATACTTTTCGGTACTAGAGTAAGTCTTAATTTCTAACGAGTTTTTAAAGATTTAACAAGAACCCCTTAGTAACCGTTAATTAGTGTCCCATTTCAGGACTCAAGTGCTCTTTGCTGGCAATCGAAGAATGGTTGACATTTAAGATTTTACTACTTTTATTTTGTATACTGTTATCCATTTCTGTTCAATGAGTTTACCTTAACATACATCCAAATTTTCAATTGGATTTATTGAGTTGAAGTGAACCAGACGCAACAAAAGAAAGCTTGCATGAATTAACATTTTTCTTGAAATGAGTTTTCTCCTATATATGTTTTTGGGAACCCTTGTTTAAAATGCCAAACCTACTTCAGTTTTGGATGAGGAAAGTAAAATTTTCAGTCATAATATTTCAGTTGACCGTGATCCGGATATAAACAACTTTAGAAACTGGAAGTGTAATTTAAGTGGATCGTTTTTCTCATATAGACCATTCTTTCGTGTCGTCACAGAAACTTTATTTGCCCGAAGAATTAAAAAGAACTGCCGAGGTACTTAGGGGATTTTGGACTACTTAGTGTCAATTTGAGAGGAAATATACAAACCGTGCAGAAATTAGACTATTCAGCTTACATTTAGGCTAGGGGCATGTTCCAAGGAAAGTAAACCATTTGGTGTGAATACAGGGGAAAATGAGACAATTTAGGGTTCATCTGAAGGAGTTAACCGAAGTCTAAGGTTTAGATTTTGAGATATTTCCCCTCATCAAGGAAACTACAGAAGAACTCCCACTAATTCTTCCAGGATGAGGAACGAAGGAGACAAACTGATATCTTTCCACCTATACTTTTTGAGTGTTCAGCCTCATCATCCCTTTTCAATTTATTTTGGTGTAGGCGTATCATAAAAAATCGAAGCCATTGAGCCTTAAGCAATCTCTTGAGTTGCTACTTTAAAACTTACTGTCAATCAACTTACATGAGGACCCTGAAGACGTGACCAACTTAATTGGTTAGGGCCCTAGAAAGCCATGAGTATCAGCGAAGCGCAAACGTTTGAAAAGGCCACCATTATGCAAACCGAGTCCTGTTCTAGTATGCTTCTGTGAGCGTCCAGTCTTCTCTTGAAAGAGTCAATTGAAGGTGCGGACACCACTGCTTCAGGCAGCAGGTTCCAAGTGTTGATGACGCGGTGTGAAAATCTGTATGTCACGGGTATTTTGTTCGTTCTTGGCTTTTATACTCGCCTGCTATGTCCTCTAAGGTGTCCCGATCTAGTGGGAAGAAAGAGAGAGAATAAGTTAGGTCCGAAATCATTTCTCAGTATTCTGTACATCAAAATTAGATCTCCCCTTAGTCTGCGATAGGACAGAGTGAAGAAGTCCAGTTTTTCAAGCCGCTCTTTGTATGATAGACCCCGGAGTTACGGAATTGCATGGGTAGCTGCCCTCTCTACTTTTTCTAGTATGTCCGAGTCACCTTTTAGACAGGGGCTTGCAGCCTGAGCGCAGTTCTCTAGCTTAGTTCTCACTAAGGATGTGTATACTGTGGTGAACATGGTAGTATCTAACTTAGTGAATGTCCTTTTTAAAGCCCAGAGGGTTCGAAACCCCTTGGCTGCGACCTCCCGGCAATGGGCCGTCGTCTTAGGATCATTACTCACTGTCACTCCTAGATCCTTATGAGACCAGACTACGGGTAATGACACGTCCCCTATGTTGTACTTATTAACCTTTGAATCCCCCAAGTGCATGTAGACACACTCTTCCGCGTTGATAGGCATCAGCCACTCTTTAGACCAGTTTATCATATTATTTAAGTCTGCCTGAAGAGTAAATGCGTTTTTGTGTCCAGTTATTACTCGGCAAATTTCATTAACGTACATTATAAAAAGTAAAGGACCTAGGACGGAACCTTGGGGTACTCCACTAAGTACTGGTCTCCAGATGGAGCACTTGGAATTTATTCTTACTTTTTGCCTACGACCTACTAGGAAATCCTTAATCCATTTTAAAAGAGGTCCGGCAATACCAAGGTTTTCCAACTTCAATAGCACTCTATTAGTTGGCACCTTGTCAAAAGCCTTACTGAAGTCTATGTAGACAACATCCACTGAGTTTCCGTTGTCTAGCGCATTAATCCAGAGCTCCCTAGCTATAAGGAGGTTCGTTGTACAGGATAGACCCTTTCTAAAACCATGTTGTGCCATGTTCAGCAAGTTATTGGTTTCCATAAATGCCGTTATGGTCCGTTTGATTATTCTTTCCAGTATTTTAATTACAACACTGGTGAGGCTTACGGGTCTGTAATTTGATGGAACTTGTCGTGGACCTGTTTTATGTATGGGAGTGACGATTGCGTCCTTCCAGTCCATAGGTAACACACCTTGGTCAAGTGACATTTTGAATATCACAGTCAGTGGGGCTGCGATATATTGGGCAATATGTCTCAAGATTTTAGGGTGTAGTTCATCTGGTCCTGTTGACTTCTCCATGTTTAGGGTGCTAAGAGCCTTAAGCACATCGTTTTGGTCGAAGTCCACGGTGAGCAGCTGGTTTGTTGACTCTGTAATTGGGTCTGGTTCTTTCTCTAGAGGAGGTTCCTGAGTGAAAACTGCCCCAAAGTAGTCAGCCATTGCATCAGCTTTTTCCTGATCTTCCTCTATCATTTCAGATTCACTTCCTACTTTAATTAGGTTGGGAATCCAATGATGAATCCTTGTTCTGTAGTTTATGTACGAGAATATCCTCTTGGGCTGCTTGAGTGCAGATTGTGCCAGCTGCATTTCATATTTTCTTTGCGCTTCCCGAATTTTAGTTATACACTCGTTTCTTATCGATCTGTAGCGTTCCATCGTACCTGCTGTGCCAAGGCGGATGGCAACATCCCAGCATTTCTTCTTTTGTCTTAGTAAGCGTCGAATATCCCGCCCTATCCAGGGATGTCCGTGCTTCTTTTTCTTTGGGACAGTCCAGGGTATGTATGGTTGAGTTACCCGATTGTATAACTGCCTGAATAGAGTCCATGCCTCTTGTACTGATGCCTTTGAGTCAATTTCCCAGTTCTCAGCCGATGCTGCGGAGTTAATTGCCTGCATATCTGCCTTCCATATGTTAGGACGGGCCGGCGCAATTGTTTGACAAGCAATCTCAGCCATGAATTTGAATAAGATGACTGCATGGTCACTTCTCCCAAGTGGTGGGAGAAAAGCCATTTGACCAACGTCATCACCGTGTGTGAAGACTAAATCTAAAAGAGAGAAGAGTTTCTTAAGTCGTATCTTGTGGGATCTCTAATGTGTTGGAATAATGCTAGTCCAATCGAGGTTTCTAACAGTTTGGAGTCGAACGACGATATGGATGACCCTACTTCTAAGTTAACCCAGTTTATATATGGTGCATTAAAGTCGCCTACTACAAGGCTTTTACCGTTGTTACACCAGGACTTAAGTTTACTAGGAGAAAATCATCTGCTACACATTCTGGACTGCGATAACTACAACTACTTCAATATCTTGCCTTCGGCATTTCAACTTACATCTCACCAGTTCACATGTCCCTGAAACATGTGCTACTGTCTCAGCTAATCTTATGGTTAGGGTACTTTTCGTGTACAGAATAACCCCGCCTTCCCTTCGGTTTAATCTATCAGCCCTACTGGTTATGAAACCAGTCAACTGGATTTCACTATCTAATACTTCTGACGTTAACCAAGTTTCCGAGACAGCAACAACGTCCGGTTTTTCTTTATCCACCACTGACTTGATCTCCCATAGGTAAAAACAGTCATACTTTTGTTGCATTTGTACATTTAGGAAATTCAAACTTTTTATCTTCCATGTTCTGAATTATTATTCACCGGTTTTACGTTTCAGTATGCTCTATTATCAGTCTTAATTAAGTGACAAAATTTCTATTTTGATCTGAGTATAATGAAATAATCAAGTAACTCTAAAAATTGCAACATAAAGTTGTCATTGTTATAAATAACTTATTATGGTTCATAGTATCACTTAAATATTTATTAACCTTAGGTAGATCATTCACAGAGCTGGGTTGTTCCTGCTTCGGATGGTTGAACACTGAGCATTTTACTTTCAAGATCAAGGCTGATCAATATGGAATAATTGATTGTATGTCATTAACTAGGCATTGTGTATTGGTTGTTCTCTGTATTTCACTATTCTTTTCATAGACTACATTGATTTTGTCAGATTTCACTTGTTCATGGACAACTATAACTGAACCACTTCATCCGATTATCACGAAATGAAACGAGCCAGGCTGGGTGTTAAAAGTGAGGTGTGACTTCGACGTCACCTAGAGAGTCACATCATTACCGCCCAAGCAGAATAAAATTGACGGTCACCACTATCAGTCTACAAGTCTAATGATATTTCGGTTCAACACAACAAAACTGTACTGAACTTAGACTCTTTTTGATATCGTGCCTCAGATATTTCACAAGCATAATCAGCATAAACTTGTCAGTGAATAGCATGTTTTCGACTTCAAATAAATGTAGATGAGGGTGAGATTACAAGGCGTCATTATAATGACAGCTGAATAAAAACTGAATTGAGATTGTTAGATAACATGGATTTCCGTGCTATTATTCATTCACTAGTTCTGGTTTGATACAAAAGGATAATTAATAATACTGAGTTTCATTCCTGATAAGTACGTGGATACTCCAATCACGACACTAGCCACATAATATCATTATATTTCATATGTTATTTTCCGCTCTTTATATATGTATCACTATTAAAAATTTGCACGATCTCATCAATAGAATCTTTTAGGCGATATAATTTTGTACACTATAGAATGTCCTGAAAAATACAACTTATAGAATCCCAGCTATCTATAGATGAATCGGAAAATTCCGTAAGTCGTGTTGTGGTAAATGGATTTGAAAGACGTGTAGTGACCTACATTTATCAAGAGAACGCGATTGGTGTAATGGAAACAGTTATTATTATAACCAATTGTACCAGTGACTTTTTTACTGTAATTATTTACTTAACTGTACCAAAACACATACATTCTTTCGTTGATTGTGACCTTGCACGAACTCGGTTACGCTCAGTAACCATACTTGTAACCTGGCACGATCTCGATATTCTTTCGATACCACGAGATCGCCAATAAAGACATCTCGACTACAGCCACCAACTGCATTCTGATATCCGGCTTACGAGGGATCTTATCGGTCAACTGACATGTAGTCTTCCTGTAGTGGTGATCATAGTCAAACGCAACTGGACGCCACACTACAGATGTGTAATGAAATAGTCCCGCAGTCGTTCTCTTTTATGTTTTCAAGAGAATCTTTAAAATTTTGACAATTATAGCTTGTTAATTTATACACATAATTCCCCTTTATTATTTTAAAGATAGTAAGAACAAAGATTGATGAAGAATAATATAGATTTAATTTATTTCGTTAGGTTCTCATCAGCTGCTCACAACCTAAAATGTTTGAAATTCAGTCTTTACAGTTATTGACATACATACACATAAGAGCGTGATTAAGGATGAATATATGTATCATGATGTTGCGAAGATTCCGATAGAGTTTGTAGCGCGGCTCCGAGTTGAGATTAAATATGAACACCGCTACCAAGAAACACGTGCCAGGTAAATCAGAAGGCGAAGGCTGAACGTAACATAATAAATTCATAAAATCACCGAGAAGCCAAATATCAGAAGGCAATTAATGGACTAAATCGAGATATATTTGCTGGAGATCTCGTGGTATCGAAAGGATACCGAGATCGTGCCAGGATACAAACTTGGTTACAGAACGTAACCGAATTCGCGCGAAGTCACAATCAAAGTGTGAGAATAATGGATGCTTTTTAGCACAGTTAAACAAAAGCACATCAAAACAGTCACTCGTACAATTGGCTATGATAATAATTGTTTTCAATAAACCGATCGTGTTCTCGTGATAAAAGTGAGTCACTACAATTTAATGAGGTCATAAAGTTTTGTTTCGAACAAATTAAGTTTGAGAGGGAAGGTTCCAGAACATTGAAATAGTGATTAGAGCTCATGGAATTAAAAAACACATTGGATGATTATATAATGAAGTAACTAGAAATAGATTAATGGTAATAAAGAAAGATATGAATTGAAATCAGTCAGTTATGAATGATGCAATTTTAAAATTCGGAAAGAGTTGGAATAGTGAATGACGTAATAAATTAATAATTTATATGAGCTCATCAAGAATGCTTCAGAATCTTATATCTACACTCTCGAATTGATGAATTGTTGGCTTTTATTATATGTGTTCGATTAACTAGTTTGTTGTGTATGAAGTATGTTCTACTCCTATATTTAGGTTTGGCAATTCACACTATTGATTGGAAGCACTTTGCCTCTATAGGACTTATGGATTATCAATGATATATAAATGATTCCAAATACATGTTGACGCGATAACTCGTATCTATTGGTAACATATAGCCGTAAGGGTCGATAAATCCCTGAAATACATTGTTTTACATGTCTTTGAGACTGATTCAGGCTTCATTCGTTCTATTAGATGCATCGCAAGTTGAATGTGTTTAGTTGAGCAGTACATCCTTCCTGAAAAACGGTCAGTTGAATTACGACACATCTTCATTTCTCAGTCCATCATCTAAATATCCTTTCAAATCCTACTATACCGACTTCAGACACTATTGGCGTTGAGATTAAAAGAGATATGAACCAAAGCACAGTTAAAATCTGTCTATCTATAATCCTCTTCACTGATGAACTCGACGTAGCCTGCTGTACCAGAGCATATTTTTCGCGGGTTTGAAACTCCTTTATAAATTAAGTCTTTCTTTAATCGCGTCAGTTAGAAACAGGACGATATAAATCAATTTTGGAGTTTAATGGCCTGTCATTCCTTACTCACAGTTTGCTGTCCTATTAGATCTCAACTACATGGTCGTTGAAGCCCAACATAGGGTAACTGAAAAGACTTACATCTCAAGTTTAACACTATGGAGAAGGTTGTAGAATTATGGTCTACTATGATATTAGTACTGCTCTAATAATAAACCTAATCCCATAATTCTAGATGATGTGACTTGCGCGGAAGATCCTATAAATTGGGAAGTTTACAAATGAGATTAGGTTCATCATTTTAGTAGCGACGATAGATGCACTTATATCGACTAAAACCATTAATCTTATATTCGTGAGACAGATCAAACATACACAACTTGTTATCAGTTCTCATATTCATTTTAAACTTATCGATTGACTTCTACTTGTGTTAACCCATTATTGTGCTGGTCTTCCGAATAGTGTTCACTCAGAAAGTACCATGGCTCGTTTAGAGATAAGTCAGAATGTTTACTTTTGCTTCACGGGTTCCATAAACGTATGACTGAACAAGTAAAAATCAAGCCGGCTCATAACATAGGTCAATTGTGATACATTTTGAACAGACTCAACTTGACTAGCTATTTGTGTCAGTTGAGTAATAAAATGAACCAGACCACTGTACCCCATCCTACTGCCACCTCCCAGATTATTTCAGGTCATACTGGAGCCTCTAAATATGATGACAGTCACTCGTAATTCTCGATATAAAAATTCCCACACCTTTACGAAAGGCATAAGAATTCGTGAAAATAAACACAGATTTGGTAGAAAAACTAACAGAAACCTACGACAGCGTTCCTTAGTTGTCTTGCAGTTGACTGTTGAGCATGCCAATAGCCAAGAATTCTACATGGCATTTTATCCAACTATTACTGATGATTTAAGTTTAAGTGCCTCGGCTCAGATCGGTAGATCCAACTTCACTATTCAGAATGCCCGAGTCAGCCAGTCCTCCAAAGGTTGATTTGGTACTTAAAAATACCTAACAGGATTTTGGTCTGACATCCGCATTTGTATACACGTGGACAAAGCTATAATGTTGTTGTGTCGTTTTTATAACTATAAAGGTTATATCTGACTAGCTTACTTACTACAAAAACTTCCGCAAGGCCGACGATGCTATTAGGGCAGGTCCCATGGGGTTATTCTGACAAGATGAACACCATTCTGTATGATTTTCACATTTTGCTAAACCACAGTGCGATTGTACGTCAAACAATAAGTTGGCTTTTCTGCCTGAGGTTTCGTTGGCTACATTTGGCGTCGCTGCCAAACGGGAGGCGCAAAGGGCATAGTTCTGCGAACACCGTTACAGAGCTGGGGAGTCGCTAGTCGGGTAGGTCTGCTGCAGTAAGGTGACATCGAGTGATGTGTTCTGGCGGAGCGACGTCATCTGCAACAGTTGTTGTTAACGGAGAGAAGCAGTGTAACGTACGGCTGCCGGGTGGACATCGGATGTGAATGGCTCAGTGGGTCTCTGAACCGCAGACGCTAGACGTGCCGGGTGTTGAGTGGACACCGGATTTAGACGGCTCTACAGGTCAACAGAGCTACGAGGATCAGCACACCTGCGGACTCGACACTGAAGAGGAGCGTGACACGAACTGTGGAGAACAATGCAACAGCAGAAGTGACTAGTTAAAGGGGACGAGTGTGGCGTATGCTACTTAATTTTGCAGATATAAGTAGTATGTAACGCCAGTTGGAGGAGTAATGCATACCAGCAGAACACTGAGAACATCCAATTGAAGACAACAGAAAGGGCAACAGAAGGTAATCGTAATAACGACAGTATTGAAAGAATCATGAAGCATGTAAAGGACAACTGGTAAAAGACGTGTAAATTATAAATTTAATGTATGGTTTATATATTTTTTGAAAGCCATCTGTAATTTTGTATTGAACTATAAATTAGTCTTCCGTGCCAGAGTTCTTGTCCACTACAATACCATACGTGGCAGAGGATGGAGTAAACTGTAATTAAGTAATCACTAATAATTAAGGAATAGTAAAACACATAACAGCCTATAGATCCAGGGAAAATTTACAATGAGATGAACAGACATGCAACATTAAAGTCACCCGCTAATGATACAATAAGAACACAACAATAATAGTCCAAAATATAGTACCGCGAACTTCACTTTCCCAAAGGTCGTTCAGTTACTACACTGTATTTCTGTGATGATTAGAAGTATGAATCATTGTTCCAATTATGTATCCCCGAAACAGCGTAATTTAGACCAAGAATAACTAGATGAGCACGAACCAAGTACAAAGGAACCATTAGTTCATATAAACGCCCCAATTTCCTAAATAGACCAAACGTTATGATCAGAATATATTCAGTTCTCGAATACTGTGGTGTTGAGCATGTTGCTCGGATTACAATCACGAAACCCGTCTCAATACTTACAATATATATACAATACACTACGTAACCAAATACAAGACTATGTATGAAAAAGTCAACGTTATTTAGTCATGCTCAAGCATTAAGCCAGTTCTATGAATGTCAAACAAATGACAAGGCATTGGCTTTCTGAATGTTTTTAATATCATTTTCAAAGTATCTATGGGAAAGGTTTGGATTCATTATCGAGGAGCACCAGCAAAATATGAATGTTGTATTCAGTTTGATGTAGTACGAAATTTTGAGGATGTGATTTGGAAATATGGGTAACTTGATAATACAATAACTGTACACTTAAAATTCGATTCCATAGTTAATCATAAATTTAAAAAAACCATCATAAGTAATCTTCCTGATGAACAAATAACGTTTAATTTCATGTATTTCTTAGTAAGTGAAATACGAAACTACAACCTGTATCTGACTTAATGGAACAATTCGATAATATAAAATACACCGGGAAATTATTAAGCTATTATATCCCAAAACACAACATTAAGCGACCATGGTTTCCAAGGAGTACTTCTTACTTTCCCGAATTTCTGTCATACGATATCATCAAAATTAAAATAGAATCAATACATACTATAGTAACCATAGCTATGTATAATGATTCCGACAGAATGAGCGTCCTACAGAACGTAATTTGTTGTACGACTGAATTATCAGGGACCCGACTTAATTCTTATAAAAGCAAATAACCTTATGTGTAACAATATTGAAAATGCAAACTATAAACTATATGCTATACACACAGGCTCGAAGGTAAAAGAACAAGATGCAGTAAAAAATACTTGTCAACATTTTATAAAAATACAGTTTGAAGTTGTACATTGATATGTGTTCCGTTCTTCAGACAAGTGAGTTTACATGAATATATTAAAATGTACATGAAGAACAAATACATTATCTAATCTCTTTTAAATTATGATTTTCTACCAGGAGTCATTTCTTCCATACATAAGCGCATCATTATTTTGATGGGTTTAGATGGATCGGCGAACTGATATCCTTTAGACCAGTCATAACCTGATGCATAACAGAACACTTGGCCTTTAGGATCAAATACACAGCAGGTGAGCGGTTGATCTGGAGAATCCGAAGAATGTAATTTAGTTCTAGCGTCTTTATCCCAAAATGAATAACATCCATCGGACCCCACTGTGGCTAGTGTGCCATGCACCGGATGGAAAGCCATATCATTTACCTAAGGAAGGACAAAACATTAAGTAGATTACAATATCTTGGTAATAATATTGGTAAATACTTCCGGAAATAAAATGAAAATGAATGTTCCTAATTTACTGATCAAAACTAGGACATCAAATTCTCACATGACTATAAATAACGTATGTGTGAGTAAATTTATGGAGAAAAAGCAAAACAATGACGCTCTCTAATAAATCCATTTCTCTGATGACAACTTAAATTATGAAGAGCAAAAGTTATCGTTCTACACTGGTACTAAAAATACCGCATTTAGTACATTGAAACACTAATACACCGGAATTCAAATATAAGCAGCTGGATTCCATAATGAGATACTATCAAACAAGATCATTAATGAATATATAAATCAAAATATCTATGAATAAAATGGCACAATGACAGAAACTAATTAATTTGAAAGAGAAACTACAAAAGTTGACTGGTTAATAATGCAACCATCGAAATAGAAAAATCGGAATTTCAATGAGGAATTATCAACTGTTGATTCGATGAAGTCCGAAGTGATGTAGACCCTCATGTTTGTAGTTGATAGTATGAACCATCGTGCTTTAACTTAGTGGCTGTATGGCATCATGATATTATCTGAGGATCCTGTGATCATTTCAAAATGGGATTGTAAGGTTGCTTTACAGCTGAGTTTCGAAATGATATAAAACAGAAGTCTAATGTCTCTTGATTTTAATTCGTTCATCAGGTGGAATCAGTTTATGATAAAAACTATTTCGAAAATAAATTGCATGTTCAGGAAAACAATTGAATAAACATCTAGTATAAATAATTAATTACGTATAAACTGACTTCATAAATTGAACATTACGTTTACAGTATGAAAGCCGATGATACTACCGGGTAACTCAGAACGTGGTATAAGAAGTGAGGTCAAAACTTACAACCTATGGGATGCTAAGCGAGTGCAGAAACATATTTTTAAAAATTAAGATTCATTTCATACAGAGACTGAAAATAAATATTACCTAGTTTACTTATATTATTTTCATGAATGTGAATTGCACAATAAACAATACTTACTGCAAAAATTTCATGGTAACCGTTGACCGGTGCATTGGAACGATGACATTTAAAAGTGAAATTATCTTTAGGCGTAGTTGGATTTAAATACTGTATAGCGACACGCCCTTCAATGCTCCCTAGAGCAAAGCCACTAGGATTTTGTTTTTGTTTGTCCATGAATATAGATATACAACGACTCTGTTAATATAAAAAGTTAAGACGAGATGTATAGTTACGAATTTCGTGAATACTGTAGAACACTCAACGAAGCTTTAATTTTAACAAAAAGATGAAGTATACTTATAGAAAACTATAGAGTGAGCACGAAAATCATACTCAACAAGTATATAAACTTTTCATGCCTGATATAATTTCACAATACCAAAGATGAACACAACTACTTCCCCTCCCCCCTCGTCACAACCAGGTAATTCGAACTTAAGTGACTGATGAAGAGCATAAACGTGATCTTTGGCTTTAATTTAAACATGGCAAACTATTCGCTGTCGAATAATGAACTGATTCTGTTCTCACAAAAAAACCCAGATAAATTATCCTATGGGCGACAACGCGTTTTAGTACTACTAGAGCTTAAAAGTACATTTTAGTGAAAAAGAAGAATAATTAGCATGGCTAAAAAACCATATTTTGAATTGTTTAGTTTTGAAAAGTAACAACAGATTGCGACAAAATGAGTCCAAATGAAATATTAAAAAAACTAAACAAATTTTTTAAAGGTGATGAATCAAACTATATGAATTAAGACTAAAACGAAGCAAATTCAGAGACATTGGGACGGTGAGTAGTTGCTCGTCAGAAGAAAGACTTATCTGACAATCTGTAGCTTTGTAAGATAATTAACAAAATATTTTTATGAAAAAAAATATAACTTTGGCTGAAACTTAATGGATACAACAACTTAGATTGATACTCGTGTCACGTTTCGTGTTGTTTAATACCGATTGAATTCACCAGCACCACAATTATCGATAACTGGAGGCTGTAAACTATATTCAGAACCAGGTTCTAACGAATACACATAGACAGTAATTGACAGATCCAACACATCAACGTGGAATAGTGAGATGGAAGACAACTTGCTCAATTATTTTCGGCGTTTGACTTGATAAGTATTTCTTCTGATTCTCCTGACTGAGCAACATTTTGACATCGTCAACAAGTTTTTAATGTTGAAGTGAACATTTTTGATATAAGCTGAGAAGTGTTTAGCTTACTAATCTGCCAATTTTTATCACAAATTCTAGAACTCGAAAGTTTGAGATAAATCTAAAGACCAAAACGTTAGGAAACAACGCTTAGGTAGCCAACTTTGTTTTCTAAGAGAGAAAAATAAGGAAACCTACGGAAATCCCTAAAGGGAAGGTAAAATAGGAATGTTTGTTCACTCTGCAATGAAATCGTATCTATCGTTACACAGTGTCTAGGTAATTCATGTGACAACCACTAGGGTATACATCTGTTACCAGGCGAGTCGACAATACTGACTGTCATAATAGTGAGTGCGTACCGCAAAACTCATTAAAAAAACTTGTGAGAAATTTAGTTTCCTGTTGGTTGTAAATACATTATTCACATTTTTGTCTTCCATTAGAAACCTGACAAATATAATCAATAATATAAACAAATAACCGTTTCACTGTCGAATAACATAGTTGATTCTCATTTATTGGACAGAACTATATTCTGGAAATATTTGCTAGGGTAAAAGATGTTTGGAGAGTTTAATAATAAATTGAGATAATTTCAGTTAGAGTATAGGATAGCCTCTTTGCATCAGTCCAAACCACCAATGAAGTTAATTGGGGTTATACACTTGTGAAAATCCTTCTTCAAGTTTCCTATTGATGATATTTTGGAGTTTTAAAAGAAGTAAATAATGAGAAAGGATACCTGTAAACTAAAGAAACTTCAATGTCGAGTATGAGGACAATACAGTTTGACCACTAGGTGAAACACAAACTACTTAAATCTCAATTTATTGGGTATGAGTTTTCGCAGACGTGGCGTACGGTTCGTGCTATAGAAGTGTGACGTGATTTTACGATACGGACAGGAGACTACATGTGCACAAAGTGTTAGTGGTGAGTCACTGGAAACAACGAAGAATCTCGGCTATTTTGGTATTTGTGAGTGTTTTATACTTATGATACCTGCAAAGGATCTTTGACAGATATCTGCATTTAAGAGTGTCTCTGGAAAGTGAACAACATTTGATGTCAAGAATGTGCAAGCAACTCTTAACTAAAGTGATGTTATAGGTATTCGAGATCGTCACCGTGATAAACACTAACTGCTTTGCATCATCAGAAAAAATAGAAAGCTTATACAGTAAAAGTCGTATATTTCTCTTATTTCTCCTAGTTGTCAATCACTTTAGAAGGGTACCAAAAGGAATAAAGGAACAAACTATTAGATGAATAATAGCCTAACAATTAGTAAGAATTTTTGTACACCATATATCTACGTTGGTTTTAAATTATGTTCAACTACCTTGAGAACAAATATATTATTTTTATTTATACCTTGAGAACTATTTAAAAGACAAGAGGTTACGAGACACACTGACCTGAAATTTAAGAGGAGACTCTAATTGGTTGAATTGAGTAGGACCATTTTCTAAATTATACACAAATATTTGCCGACCTGCAGTCCCGACAAGGGCAAGTGGATAATGGACGTCAGCACAATAGATCCTTTCCGGCAAATCCAAGTTTAAAATAGGCTGAGGTTGTCTTGTATCCCAGAATCTGTAAAGAGATTAATTCATCTATAATTGAAAGATAACTATTCATAGAAATTCTTAAAAGTAACTGATCTAAACATTTTAAGGGTCATATATGCTAGATCTACCTGAAAAGCTCCTGAAGGTAAGGTAGAAAGATATTATTTATACGAATTTTCAGGTATTCATATAAAATACACCGTAACAGGCATACCGAAACATGTCCATGAATGAAATATCGATTTTCAAGCCTTGACTAGTAAAGCAAAAAGTTTCCAAAAGAAATATATCAGGACGTTCATAAATCGACAAAAAGTACTGGGAAGAATCCATAAAACCAACTCCCAAGAGGGGTAGTAAGCTCAGTTTATCAACTATCTAAGCGGTATAAATACAAAATTCATTTTAAGTGTAGGACTAGTTCATCGAAGTGAAGTTTCATTTTCAAGTAGTATGAGTCACCGGCACCTTTAGCTTCCAGACTGATCAAAGTTACAACTGTATACAAGAATATTTCGTTGTTACCAAGAGAAAATCGGCATCCCTTGAGAAAATGTTCTTCTCTCTACAGAATATTCCAACACTGCAAATCCATTGACTACAAGTCTATAAACTGTTGAATACCGAAACTGACAGTGTTATACTGTGAATCAAACTATTTTAAAAAGTGGCTTAAATAAAAAAACATCTCGTCGGGTAGAAAGCAAAAAGGTTAAAAATCCAGTGTACAGAAGAATCGTACATGTAGTAAAATAAGTTGAGGAATTTACTTGTCAAATGGCTGTCGACTTTAATCGTCTATTTTTCATAAGTGAAAAGATAAAAGGAAACTTCCCTTAACGTCTGAGAAATAATTACAATTGTACGAGTGTTAGGATAACCAGATATTTCAAACCTGGAAGATATATGTAAGGGTTTGATAACGATCCTATAGAGATCATCTACTCGTATAATAAATACAGACCATAGTTTGATAAAAGAATTTAGACGCAACTGTCGGGTTGAAGTTATGATGGTAACATAGTGAGTTATTTTCTTTATTATAAGACCTATAAGGACATTGCTGTTTGAGTTAAAATAGCTGAAAAATCAACTAAATTTTACTGAAGTTATATATATATGAATTGGGAAACCATAGCAGTTAATGTCGACTATATTAATAACTTCAGTCAAAAGGTAAACCATTAAGGCCTATATATCTTTCAGTAGCACAATGCTGATAAGACTATCATTAGGAAAATCATACTGGATTACTTGCATAACGAGTACGAATGACTTACTAAGAAATGTTTGGTGATACTATAATTTATGGACGACCTTTGAGCGACGCCGAAGTGACCTTGAGAGTGAACAACTACTACTTAGGACTAAATGAGGGTTATAAAGCAGTCAGAATTCTTATTTACAGTTGATGGTTAAGGTTAAAAAGTAGATTTAGGGTTTTCATTACGAACTGACATCAGCTATAATGCCAAAATTCTATCTAGCCAAATGTATGAATGAATTCCGCACCCCAATTCGTGACTTGTTATCTTATATCTGATTGGTTCGTCCATAAATTATAGTCTCGCCAAAAAATTTTGAAGAATAAATGTTAGTGTTGTTGTTCTCTGTTGTATATATATCAAAGCCTAATGTGAGAATACAAGTGCTACGACACATGATAATCAAGTTCTTAAAGCACATATAGTCAGCAGTAAGTATGATGGGATAAAAATGAATGACGTACAAACATACTCTAACCATTTAGAAACCAGGGTTTATCATCAGGTACTGTAGACCTAGTAGTGTAGTTGACTCGTACAAAGATTGATAACAGCAAATGCTACCAGTCAGTCTGACTTAGGACTCAATATTTATGCATAAACCAACTAGACTCTTCTTATACACTCACTTTATATTAGTAGTTTACGAGCTTACCCTACCTTTACTTAAAGTTGACGAGTATTCATAAATATATAGTGCCTGCTAATCGCTGGGACTATTAGTAGTTGCTGGATTAGACGAACCTGAAGAACTAACCGAAACCAGAAACTATAAGTAAAGATAAGCCTCAGCTTACCTAAGTCGTTTATCCATGAACCTGTCATCAAACAAGAATAATTTGGAGCGGTAATAAAATGAGCAGTTTTAACGGGAGCATCATGTACACCAACTTGCGCGAAAGTGTTTGAACCAAGATCCCACATTTGCGCAGTTTTGTCTGCTGATACACTGAAAATTTTCGAACCATCCTAATAGAAAACGTTTGAAATACATAAGAGAAGTGCAACCTACAGTGCTCCAACAAGCCCCAAATACAGGCCTTGATGCATCTGCTCAGCCTTGGGAATGGTAGAACCATTGGCTTGGACTTCCCAAATTCTAATACGATTATCCCAACTGGTAGCAGCCAAGAAGGTTGTTTGCATGGACTCAGGACTGAAGCGAAGACACGATACTGTATCTCCTGGAGGAGACTGGACTTCGGCTGTTTTTTGTGCAGAACTCATAGTTTTATTTGAACCAATACTAACTGAATTAAAGACATTTTGTGTCCCACTATTAAAGAGTGTCATCCTTAAAAAACTTTCGTAGCACACTATTTACTTTTCGCGCCAGTGGTTGTGGGTGCCGAGTGTCTCTGCGATTGGCTGATCGAAGTATTTTAAAAAAACCCTCAACAGAAACTTCATTTGATTGTATATCCGATCGGTATTCGGAATAAAACTCCTATATAGTGCCCTCGTTTTGGATTTTATACATAGTGTAAAATGTCTGAAACATCATTTTACTTTAAAGGTGGTGGTACCATATGACCTATCTTAGTCCTGGATAAGAAGGTCTTTCAGGTAATCCAATTTTCTTAGCAATTTACGGAAAATGAGGCTTCGATAACGTAATGATGTAGGAAGTTTCTCTGGCTGACGAATTGATGGAAAAGCGTGTCTTCTCCTGACAAGCATTTCCGTCTTTCTCCAGTGAACTAATTGGAGTGCCCTCATAAACCCACTGAACTGGGGGACAAATTAGATAATACAAGGAATGTGACTGGACCTCTTTCAGTCTTTCTCTGTACCAAGTGAAATGGGTTTTGTGTGCTAACCCACTCGACATATAGCAGGCTTGAGACCTCAAGAATCACGTTGATTGTGATGCTGTAGCGGTGAACAAATCCCCAAGATAAATAATTCTGTAAGTCTTAGACATTGATGCTGGTGTTATCAATTTTGCTGGACATGACCTGGCAAAAGGCACGTGGTCACGCGTCAGCACCAGATCACAAGTGAGTGTGCCATGCTATACACTCTATACAACCGTTAGCCAGGTTAGACAAAACGATTCCTGACATCTTGACAGCCTTCCAAATATGCCTTCGAACCCCCTCATTTCTGACTTCTGATTTGACTGGGTTGGTACACTTCAGTTATGAATGAGTTACGTGTAAAGCTGCTGCCAAGCCCAAAATGAGTGTGGCATCTTTAGTACGTCTGGAAAACCAATTCATTAACATTATTTACCATCCATATATATACAATTTACTGTTTTATAAAGTGTTCGTTGGCGTTAATTTGTAGTTGAAAAAATACCAAACTCTGGTTTCGATTTCTTTACATCATTCTGCAGCTCTGAATTATCCGTTTTGTTTCAGTCCGTTCTCTAATTATTCATATTGTCAGTGTACAACAAGGCTGATACTCAAAAAAGAAACTTGGAGTTTCATTTACAGAAAACATGACAATAATAGTTCAAAAAAGTGCTCACTGACACTACTCTAGACATTGTTTACCTGCCATATAAGTCGAAATTAACAAAAGCTGTTTGTTTGCATTCAGCTAAAACTTTTTTGCTGAGAATTAATTTTTTTGAGTCCCAAAAATTGCTCAAATTAGCAGTGTGCTATGCAGGACTTTGCTAGAGTCAATAAAAGATACTTCTGTAAGTCGCTCTTGACGCCTTCAGTCCTATATTTTGGTGTTATTCAGCATATTCTTGTCAGAAGTAGAGACCAAGGCACAAATTCAATGTCCAAGGCACGTTCTATATTCGACATTGATTCTCAATCACTAGGTCCTTGAAGCCGTAGATACGAGAAGATTTGGATTCAGTATTTATTAATAAGAGAAGACCAGAAATAATGAAGGCGGAAGACTTGATAGGTATGACATGGCTCGGCCATTCAGTTGTCACCACTATGTGACTTCTTGCATTTCCTAATAAATATATTATTCTCTTCCTAATCCGAATTCATTCTCTGGGAGTCCTTAGCAGTAACTACTTAACTTAATTATAGGAGGAATAGGTGTGGCACACAAACCGACGAAATCACTACAATAAATCCTATGCAAACCAAAAGATGAAATAACAAAAGAAAACAAATCAAACATCATCTACAAAATAAATTGTGTCAGCTGCGAAAAACATCACATCGGACAAAGCGGACGACCCCTTCACCTTCGCCTACATGAACATCAATTAGCAGTCAAATGGCATGATATCTCCTCACTTATATCAATGCACATGGACAACTGAGGACACTCATTCGATTGGAAAAATGTGGAAATCTTAGACAGAGGAAACTCCAAAAACACCAGAGAATTTTTAGAAGCCTGGCACTCAGGTCAATCAGCAATCAACAAGCGTATTGAAATCAATCCAATTTATCAACCAATCAGAAAAATCATGCACAAACATAAGAACAAAAATCAAAACAATGGGAGACACAACCAAAACAAAGAAGTAAACAATGACAAATTTAAGGTCAACAAGAACCAATCAACATGGAGGTGCACAGAACAAGCTTTGAAACACATATGGAGAAAAACCGAACGATGGAGAAGGCGAGAGGGACGAATTCAAATAATTCAATTAATCGGATGCCATGACTCGGCCTTGTAGGCGTGGCCACCCTTGAGCATCGTCTTGTAACTTTTGTTCATATTAGATATATTGTTTTATTTCTAGCCTAAGTTTTTTCTCCATCATATATTCGCGATTGTTACGATTCGGTGAGTTGATGTAGACAATGATGCGGCCTCCATGTAAGATCTTATATTTAAGGCAGTTACATCATGAAAAATCTACAATTTTAGGATTAAGCCTATTATTAGAGCGGTACTAACAACAAACTAAACCATAATACTGCCGATCACCGATGCAGTCAGTTCGGAACCTAGGTGCATCTAATGATAAAAGAGAGAAGATATTAATAGGTTATAACGGAATACTGTCCTTATTCCCGGATAATATGTCAAATTTTCTCTTAGAGATTTCCTAGAAAGCCGATTGGACTAGCTCACTCGGCAGCGAATTGCAGCATTCGACTACTGTTAAGGAGTAGAAAGTGTCCATACCATCAGTTGTGCTATGTTGCATCTCCAGTTTCTAGGTGTTACTCCTAAGGTTTTTGTAGGGACTGAGCCTAAGTAGATATTCAGGAAGATGTTCGGAATTATTTAGGATACTGTAAGTCAATACCTCTCCCAAGACGCCTATGCTCTAATGAGTAAAGGTTCAGTGATTTGAGGCTCTCTTCATAGAGCTTGAATTTCAGTCCTCGAACTGATTTTGTGGCTCGCCGTTGGATACGTCTAAGTGTATCCTTACCCTTTTTGAGTGAGGGCGGAAACACTATATTTCCATACTCTGAGTGGGACTGAATAAAAATGTTGGAGATTAAGTGGGACGCATTTCGACGTTACCAAGTCAAATTTTTTACTCGAAAGGCATTTTTGTCGCAGTTAGCGTGGTAATTCAGACCATAGGGTATCTGTACTCCTAAATATTTTTCAACTTGATATACCTAAGTTGTATGCGTTGTTTACAACATGTTTCAGATGGACTGCTTCACAGTTTGAGGTGTTAAATGTAAGTTTGTTGTTGTCCAACCAACTATGAAGACAAGTCAAATCCTCCTGAAGTGCTAGTTTATATATACTGTAGGTATATATTTACCTAGAAATAAACCTTAATGAGTCTTACATCACAGGGGGAGGGAGAGTGGAGGATTGTTGGTAAGGGCAATGACTTCAATTCACCCATGTTTGTGGGACAGAACATTTCGTTTTAAGCTCGCAACTCAAACTTGTGTTTCTAACTTTATGTTGAATTCACTGTTGTACCAACATAACCCATAGCATGCTAATTCAAACTTTGAAACTATGACTCAACAGCTGGCATCAGACGAAAATAGATGTAAAAAAGAGCAAAAGATATTGTGGGCGTTTTCTAACCTCACTTACTTGTGATGCACTTTTCATTCTAGTAAACAGTCTTCCTTGTTCTAACGTTTGCTTCAATTCCACTATTTGAGCCCATTTCACTGTGTTTCATGTCACAACTCATTGTTCTTTATTACTGTGTTCTATTATCTGAGGGCCGTTACCACATTTTACTCCAGCAACAGAGGCCAGTATGAGTGTTTTCTACTAACTTATCATACCTTTACCTGTTCCACTATATCATTGTTTAGTGTTTATATCGAAGCGCCTTGCTGTTCCTTTGTTGATCTTTCGTTTTCAGAATTATGCTCTCAATGCACAACTACGGAGCCTCATATGCCCGAGACAAATTTACCGAATGCGTTTTCAAGGTCATAGTTCATACCGAGGCCCCATAAATGTACTTCATAACAACTATTAGCTTCTTAAGAAGTTGTGTTGCATAAACACTTGGGAGGATCCGAATTCTAACACACCGGTGCCGCTTCCGGACCTGATGTGCAACGTGTACGCGGTGTCGTTTTTCAAAAGATTTTCAAAACTGCACTCATAGTGCAATACTAAAACTTAGACCTAATCATCAGCTCTCTGGGATATCTGCACGAATGTATTGTCTATTATTGATATTGGTTTCATTTATTTAACAATCTTGATTATGATGCATCTTAAATGCAATCCAATGTTATATTATAGGTCATACCTTTAAAAATGACGTGTACATGCCCTGGAAGTAATATACTACACTATAATGTCATCTTGGTCCCAAATTTCTCTCCAGAATTCCCCATTATCTGCGAAAGTGATAAATCAGACGATACCTGCCGAAAAAGGTCGTCAGCGTAAATTAATGAAAGAAGTGGTCATAGTACTAAATTCTGGGTGAACCTGTAACAGCTTAGGTTGGTTGGTTAAGAGTTGACCCCAAAAAACCAAGCATATGTCAAAACAGTATTGTTCAAGTATTCATTCACTTCCTTATTTTGTATAAGCGTTATATTCCCCATTATCTTATATTGAATGTTGAGAGCCTTTGTTTGTCTGAACAGATAATCCCATGCTCCACTGTCACCGCGCTAAGATCGAAATAAAGACCTATTCACTACTTGTCTGGTTTCTTCTATCAATAGCACGAGGGTTACTTAAGGCACGAAATTGGTGAGCCCTTTTTGAACACAAATTTAACCTCATTTCTGTTATTAACATTTTTTTTACTTAATCGTAAAAGTAGACCTGATTATCCGTAAACTAATTTGAGTATATAACTAGTTTATTCCGTATTATCTTAAGTTATTCGTGTTATAGTAACCACTTTTTGTGCTAACTTTATTGCTATATTTGTCACATACCTCATGTCAGACTCAATAGAAACCCATAATCTGGAGGATTTGTCACCAGTGGAGATAGACACTGTTATGACTACGAAATCCCGACTTCCAGAATTTGATCGTAGTGATCCTGAGTTGTGGTTTGCTCAA